GAGCAGGGAGCCCGATGTGGGACTCGATCCCAGGACCCTGGGATCATGACCTGAGCCGAAGGCAGACGCTTAACGACTGAGCCACCCAGGCGCCCTATTATTTTTTTTTTCAAAAGATTTTATGTATGTGATTGGGAGCTCCTTAGAGTGAAGGCTTATCTGTCTCAAACATACACTCTTTCTATTCTTGTTCTTTTTAAAATTTTTAACTGAAGTATAGTTGACATACAATATTAAATGAGTTTCACGTATACAGTATGGTGATTCAACAATTATATATACATTATGAAAGGTCACCACAGTAAGTCTAGTTACCATCTGTCACTGTAGAAAGTTATTACAATATTGTTCACTATATTCCATATGCTGTCCTTTTCATCTTTGTGACTTATTTATTTTATAACTGGAAGTTTGTACCTCTTAATCCCCTTCACCTATTTATTTTTTTAGAGGTGGGGGAGGGGCAGAGGGAGAGGAGAGAGAATCTTACGCAGGCTCCATGTGACACGGGGCTCAATCTCACGATCCTGAGATTGGGACCTGAGCCGAAATCAAGAGTTGGACGCTTAACCTACTGAGCCACCCGGGCGCCCCTCCCTTCACCAATTTATTCTTGTTCTTCTTAAGAGGTTAAACTCAGCTGAATCAAGGAACTAATAAAAATCTGTGAGGAGTCACAAATATTTAGAAGACTCTAAAGTAAAAATTCTTTTTCCCTTACTCTCATCCTGTTTTTTCATTGGATCGTTTTGAATTGTTACTCTATTTGATCAGTGTTCCCTTTCCTCATTTTCCCACCGTTTTTTTTCTGGCTTTAGCTGAATTCCTAATTCCTATTATATATTTTTTTCCTCCTAGGTAAAACTGATAACCAGTATATTCTCTTTGTGGCTGGAGGGGCAGTTTTATTGTTGCTGTTTGTTATCCTAATTACCATCGTCGTTGTCATTTCTTATAACAGGTGAGTATTGCAGCTCATCCTGATTCTTGTTTCCCTTAAGTCATCCTGATATGAGGGGTTCTCTGTGAATAACCCAATAGTAGGCCAAGCTGCCTTAGCACTCACATACAGCATTTTGAGTATCAGAGGAGAAAGCTAGAGTAGCTCATTTAAGAATTAGTAGGAACTGCTCCCATGTTAGCAGAGCTTTCATATTCTGGGCAGCCAACTGCCTAGAGCCTCTGCTGTATCTCCCTTGTCCTCTCTCTTCCTCCTCCTGCAAGGAAAAGAGGGTGTTGGGCGAGGAGTGATGTGTGTGCTTGCGTGCGTGCATGCACCCATCCGTCCGTCTGTGCGTGCATGTGTGTGATGAGAAGGGAGAGGGAGGGAGGGATTCTGAGAAGGGGAAGAACAGGGTTGAGCAGTAATAATGCCTTCATGTATTCATGCATCAAATATCTATTGCAACCGTAGTGAACAAGACGTATGGAGTGCACATTCTAATAAATAAACAACATACTTTTAAATGGTTGTATAGTCTCTGAAACAAGCAACAGAGATGCTATTCCTAAAAAAATTATTGAGGAAGAGAGGTGTGTTGGAAGGGGCTAACTTAGAGAGAGTAGGTAGTCATTGACCTCTACTTAAGTTTCCTACCTTTTACTCTCTGTGGCACACTTGGGAACTTGCTGGAATATTCTGGGTTGACTCTGCCCTTTCTTGCTGTCTCATGTTCACCAACTCACTTATCTAGGTATTTGTCATAATCTTAGCTGTAATCATATTGAATTGAAATTACTCTTTATTCTTGTGTTCCTAAAGTGTTCTCTTGTTAGCAGAGGGAAGGAATACAGCCATCTTCTCTTCTTTTCTACCCCAGCAATATTACCAAACACACACGCACACACACGTGCAAGTGCATGCGTATTAATAGGATATCAGGTAGGTTTCTCTATCTCATCTCCATATCACAGCCTCACCTCTTTGGAGCTGGTATTACAACTCCCTGGAGGTTAGTTAATGCTCCCAATCTGCTCCCAGCTCCAACTGTCTCCTCTCTTTCTTTCGAACACATCTGACTTTTCCTGATTGCTCTTCTAAAAGCTAGTATCCTTCCTGTTTAACACCTTTTCTTGTCTTTCTACTGCCACCAGAATAAGGTTAAAACTCATTAACTCTGTATCAAAGGCGCCCATTGTTCTGACTTCCACCCAATTAGTGGGACCCCAACCTAATGTTCATTTATATTTTCTACTTTACTGCCCCCAATGTCAACAAATTTTGTTAAAACTGCAAGTCTCATTTTGTGAACACACCCGACTCTCTTTCCCATTTGGGTAGCTAACAAAGCCAACCCCATGTTTGGCTTTACTCCTGTGGCTCATTCAAGGCATGGGACACGTGTCCCCTTTGGGAGGTCTGTCCTGGTTCTCCCTCCCTGCAAAGAGACCCGATGTCACCATCTGTTGAGCCTTGCAGCCTGCTTTGTAGCTTCATCATTTTTGTGCTGTCCTCCCTTCTGTTCAAAATGTCAGGGATTGCATTTTATTCATTTCTTAGTGTTTGATAGCATTTAGCACTCATCTTTCCAAATAATGGATGGTCAATAAGCATTTGTCTAATTAAACTGAAACACAGAACTGTCATTTTCCCTTTCTCTCCATCACGGGCTGCCCTCAAGTCTTTCCCTGGATGGAAATTGAACAAATTAGCAAATTGAGGGAAGGAGCCCAGGATGTTAGTGACACTAAGGATTTTTCTACTGCTTCACCTTGGTTGATGAAAAATTCCGAGGGTGGCTGTGACAACAGGAGCACCCGGGAACACGGGCAACATGGTAGGAGAGAGTGAGTGACAGCACGGATCTCCGGAGGGTCACAGATGTTGGACATGATGGATTTAGCTTCATGAAAATGCATCACTTTTACATGAATAGCTAAATTGAACTGTAGAATATATTGTCCCACTTGGTTAAATGCGATAAAAAGATTAGTGGACTTGAATGTGTAATCATGGCCGAACATCACAAAGGAAGAAGCGCTTGTTCTTTCTACCTTGTCGCCCGAATCAGTTTGTGGTTGTAACTTAGAATGGAAATGTTATGAAAAATGACCCAAGGGCTGAAACAATGGTCTTCAGAACTCTGTCTTCCTGACCATTTAAAATAATCCTGCCGCTTCTGATGTGCTGACTTGGGGAGAAGCCAGAGGAGATCACAGTGTGCCTGAACGAAACCAAGTCCTTCCTTCACACCCAGTACCCCGGAGCCTGTGTGTCCAGGGGCATTTCCCACACTTTCTCTGCCTCATTTTGTGTTGCTTCCAGTTAGAGATCAGAATGGTCACATTGTTAAGTGAACGTGGTTGGTGGACGTGCGTAGCCCTGGTTAGGTGTGGCGGGAGCCAAAAGATAGTGGACACATTGATGCGTGTGTCTATAGGAAGAAATTTAATGTTTAGTGTGCAAAATGTTAGACACTTATTTTTCCTTTTATTGTCAACTTTGATGTTCACAACAATAGGCTCTTTTGCTTTGCCTGGGACTCTCCCAGTTTCAGCACTGAAAATCCCTCATTCTGGGGAAACTCCTGAGAATGAAGCAAACCAGAATGGTCGGTCAACCTAGAACAAACCACATTGTTCACCATCTTTATTTTACAGAGGAGAGGACTGAACTTTATAGATGCAAAAGCTGGTAAATTGCTGAGCACAAGTAAAACACAGATCATCTGACTCTAAGTTTCTTGTTCTCTTTTCTTCATCATATTGAATATTCTAGGCTTATATAAACAATATATATATTTGGACCTCTTTGGGAAAGTTAATCTATATTATGATATAGCAAGCCTTGTGAGTGATGATTTGACAAAAGATCCACTGTCATAGATTTGTTTCTTCATTTGTAAAAAGAGGGTAGTAATAGCATCTACATCACAGATTTCTTTTGAGGAGTAAATAATTTATATGAAAGACCTGGAAACATCAGTTTCACATAGTAAACTTAACACATCAAAAAATTAAATTAATTGTATAAGAGAGTCTTTATAAGTAAACAAATACACACAGAGTAAGATCAGTTTGTGATTATGTCGACACAGTAGGAGGATTTCCTAGTGACTAGGAGAGAACAACATCCATCATCTGAACCTTTCCCTGGAGAGAGACTAGCTTGGCTGGTTTTTAAACTTTCCATGAAGGAATTACAACTTCATCTTTTTGCATAAAGGAAAAAATACCTTAAGTTTTTGCATCTAACCCATCTCCTCTGTGGTCTGATAAAAATCTTTTCTTTAGGGAGATGAAAAAAAGATAGTCATCATCTCCCATAATAACTATTTTCATGCATTTGGGTAGAGTCGTTTCATCCAGTGCATTCAGTTATAGTAGCCTCTTTTCTTCTTCTCTTGAATTTTAAAAGATTCCTCCTGATGTTAGGTTTTTATACTTTTCATTGGAATGGTCGAGAGTTTATGGAATAGCATGGCTCCAGATGGCCCATGGAACTGGGGCAACATGGCTCCAGAAGCAGTGAGCCTAATAGTCATGAGAGAAGGGTGTGGATTCAAATCCAGAAACTACCACTAGCCAGCCACATGATTTAGGGCAAGTTACTCTTCCTCTCTTGCCTCAGTTTCCCAATCTGAGTTAAATATAGAGTTTTTGATGAAGGCTAAATAAAATAATCCATTGAGGAGGTTTGGTAAAACACCTGGAACTTTCTCTAAAGCTTAACTCTATTATCACTGTCATCCAAGATGTTACACTGTTGGCATTGAGAAGGAAGTTTTTAATTGTGGGAAATCTCTAAGCTTGAAATTATTTGGAGAAGGCAGTAAGCCATTTATGCAATAACCTACTATGAACGATTCTTTAGTAAGCTCGCTGAGATTAATTACTAATATACACTGGCTGGATATCCATTTAGATGCCTTCACCATCTGTGGAAAAGAATTAGGTCAAGGGAATTTTGAGTAGGTATGTATGAAGCAATTTCAACATAGTTAGTGAGGGCATGTAGGCTGGGGTACAAGTAGGGTATATACTATATGCAATAATACTAGTGCTGAAGTGTAAGATCTTAATGCCTCTATTGAATATGTATTCTTAGGAGAAGGAGACAGAAAAAACTATTTAAACAACCCTGGGATGCACAGAATAAGGTAAGTTTTCTCAGAGCTGTCATTTTCCACCTTTTGTGCATTGTAATATCCTGTAAAGTGGGTCCATTTTGCAGTTGACAACCTTATTGTTCTCCTTTCAATTACCTGGCCATGTAGTGGATCAGCTATTTGAGGAAACACCTGTTCTCTGACCTGTTCTCTTATTATTGATGCCCTTTGAAATAGTTTGTCTTACTTCATGTTCATTGTCTCCACTGTTGGTCAGATTTTCTCTTTAACATATATGATTCTGTTTACAAAATTTTTTAAAAAGATTTATTTATTTTAGAGAGAGACTCTCTAAAATAAAGAGGGAGTGGGGGAAAGGGATAGGTAGAGGGAAAGAATCTTCAAGTAGATTCCCTGTTGAGCATGGAGCCCAATGCAGGGCTCCATCTCACGACCTGAGCTGAAACCAAGAGTCAGACGCTCAACTGAGCCACCCAAGTGCCCCTGTTTACAAAATATTACAGCAAAACATTTCCCCAAGTGTTATCTAAAATTACATCATTTCCCTTCAATTTAATTATTTGCAATTGAATTCTACATGACCAAAACATCAAGTAATAAAAATTTTCTGACAATCTAATATGTGTGCTTTGGATTTCTGTTATCTATTTATTTATCAGTTTAATTTTTTTTCTTCTATTAGTTACCCTTTACACACCAAATTTTTTTTTTTCTGAGTAATATGTGGCTGGCTTTTTGACAGTAACTGGAAAGACTACAGAAGTTTTGCCTTGTTTCATCTGCCGCTCCAGCAAGTGATAAAACATTGCTGTTATACACAATTTTGGGGTCCCTTCTTTGTCCTTAGCTGTTGTCAACTCAAGCCACTCTATAGCCACATTTATTGCTGTGAATGTCAGGGAAGGGAAGGAACTTTGCAACTTCCGATATTAAGTATTCAACTTGTTCAAACTTTTGTAGAATAATGATATTTTGAACGATGATTAGAAAGATAGTGAGTTGGACTGTGAAAGAGAAAGAGGCTGACCTACTTGATTGTTTTGGGGTTTTCAACAGGCTCTGGAATTACCAGTGGAACTCCAACTTTCTTTTTGCTTTTTCCTTGCAAGCACCAAAACCACTCAGTTTCCAAATTACTCACCAAAGACCTTTCTCTTTTCTTTTTTTCCTCTCGATTTCTCTCTCCCTCACCCATGCCTACATATTTTCTGCCACATACATGTATAGGTGGCCAAAGTGACTTGATTAGGGTAGAGAATGTTATATGACATCATCTTGAAAGTAATGCCAGTTTATTTTGTTAATTTCTTTTATTGTGTTTAGTTGCTTATTGTCAAGACATGACACTGTGTACTTTAAAAGTATTGTTTATTAAAGCATTCATTCAACAGAAATTATTAAGCACCGTGCCACTATGGGAAATACTATACTAAACTTCCATGTAAAAATGAGACTAATGGTTCCTATGAAAACAGCCTGGGACATTGGGAGAGAGTTCTAAGACTGTTTCATAATCTAATATAAAAAGTGATAATCTAGAGTAGTCTCCTGTTGCATCTTATTCTGAGCCCTGAAAGTCAAAAATGGGATTTCTCATATAAGTTCAGTACAAAGAAGGGAATGTTTTATGAAATTAATTATAATAGAAATTTGACTTATATTGTGGTTGATTTAAGGAGAGATTTGTTTTGAGTATCTTTATTGGCTGCTGAAATGCAGTGAATCATTGACATTCTGTCTGTCTTTCTAGGCAGCCAACAACTACAGAAATCCCGACTCTACCAATCAATCATCGGATGGTGCAAGAGAGGATATTTATGTCAACTACCCAGCCTTCTCTCACAGGCCAAAGACCAGAATCTAAGTTTTTTCCTTGATCTGAGCAAATTTATGATGACTGTTATGTATGTGGATCTTTATATAATTTTTTCTCACTACTCAGTGCCTACCCTGGATACCAGTTGGTTGAATTTATTTAATTTGATAGGAAAAATACTTTATAATCTGGAGAGCATTCTTAACAGAAATGTTTCAGAAAACCTGACTCTAATTAGTGTATACATAAAGGGAAACTTACTGAGTCATGTAATGGAAGAATCCAGGGGAGAGATCAAGCTTCAGGCAAGGGTTATTTACCAAGGTTTAAATGTCATGTCTAGAATTAAGTTTGGGCATAAACCCGTTTCTGGGCCTCCTTTCGTGGAGTTGGATCCACTTTATTGGTGTTAGCCTAACTCTTATTCATGTGTTTCCCTTGTGTTTCCAACAACTCTTGGCAATTCATAATCCTTGTTTCTGCCTGGTAGAGAGTTGACTTCTCTGATAAAGCAAACAAATTTGGTTATTTGTCCATCATTAAACAGGCATTATGGCTGGAAAGGATGAAATGGCTTAAGTCAATTAAGGGTTGACCTCTAGAACCAGGACTGAGGCCAAAGCACATTACCAGGAAATTCAGGGTATCATTAGAGGAGGGAAATGGGGCCTGGAAGCTGCGCTGGTGACCAACAAATGTGCACAGCAATGCCATTCCCAAACATCTCTTATTAACCAACTAAAAAGAGAATATGTGGATGTATCTGGGTTAGCTTTCTCTCTCCCCACTTTAAAATCTGCTCTATCAGCATAGTCCAGCAGAGTAGTTGGCAGCAGAATAAATGAATGGTCAAGAGGAAGACAAATGTGACAGGGAAATCTCTTCACTCTCTGTTATCAAATAAAGTAATCCCTGATTCCACATGGAATTCTTGCCACTCTCCCTGGCTTAGCTTTTTGAGCAAGTGTAGTAGATGGTCCAATAATAACTTAATGTTTTTGATACTGAATTTTTCTACTTCTGAGAATTATTTCAAATATGTAAATCGTTTCAAAAGAGTCAGACATCTAGGCATTATTAGTGTTTTTTTAAAAAATAATTATGGGAAATCTGAATATAAGAAAAAGAATGGTAGTTGGAAGTGTGGTTTGGGTTGTGGTAGAAACATGAGGGGGAGGAACACTGGGGTGCTATAGGGAAGAAGGAACAGGGAAAAAAGAATGGGAAGATACAGAAATAACCTTGTCTTGCTTCACAGTTTGGCCAAAGACAACCCTAGCGATATCAATACAGAGCAATTAGTGGCCATCCTGTCATTGTTCAAATTCTAGTTGGGGTCAAATGAAGAAAAGTAGTCCTGAAGCTAAATAACGGTCATGATCACCTTGAAACCACAATGGTCATTACCAAAGATAGCGATCATTCATGTCTCAAATATTTATTACTCATCTCTAAAACATTCACCACAAAAATTGCATGTAAGTATCAAAGTTGTAGATTTTTATAATCTTAAGTGAACCAAACCAAATTCTCATGTTATCTAGGAAGATTTGAAGCTGTAATTTACAGTTTTAGGCGAGTCAGTGGCTATTTTATGACAATAGCTTTAACTACTATGCACGCCCAATGTGTAGTGATTCTGTGAATCACAGAAATTATGAGTGCCCCTGCCTGCTTCAGAAAGGAAAAAGTAAAAATGTCCACTTCTCGTGAGGTATTTCCAAATTCTCAATGACTAATATGGGTGAGAAGGAAAGCATTTCTACCAATGCAATATGGGGAAATGGAAATTCCACTTGAACAGAGGAGATGATGTGTTTGGGGGCGGGGTGCACAATACAACCAGATGCCATTGTCCTGGAGGTTTCACTCATGGAAGAATTCTGCAGCAGAGCCTGCAGACCATTTAAAACCAGTCTCTTTCTCCATGAATGTTTTGCTTTTTCTTTAATCTGTCACTCAGAATATTTATGAGAACTATATCCTCTGTCCCTCTTCTTCGTGTATTCTTCCTCTGCAGAGCTCAGGATTTTTCAGGCATTTGGAACCCTTCTAAGTCCTGCTGGAATTTCTCTGTCCCCCCCATCCCACCCACTGCCGCTGGTCCTGTTACACTCTCAGCTGTTCATGCTGATGAAATTCTCACTAATTTCCTTTCCCTGGACATCTTTACTTATTAACAAAGCACTTTCATTATTGTCTGTTTAATATCATTCCTAATTTGCTAGAGTTTCATAACTCTACCATATATATATATATATAATATGTATATGTATAAAACTATACCTACTATATAGATACTATATGATATATATAGTATATTGCATGTGTATGTGTGTCACACACACACATATATATGTACATATATATATTTCCCCCTAATCTGTTACACCTACTATTCTGTTGTTATTAAGGAAACGGATCAAAACAGTTCCACAGAATAAAATGTCAGAATTGAATTAAATTATGTTTTAAATCTTTTTTGAAAGGTGCTAATTAGGGAGCAAGATGCTTCCTAGGATTCTTTTTTACATATATAATTTATGATGATATATAATATATTACATAAAAATCTATGTTTCCTTTGAAAGCCATAAATGTAAATTTGAATATTTCCATTAAACTAACCAATGAAAAGGAATTGCTGTGTGATGACAAGTTAGGTAAGTTTGTTAAATGTCATTATAGAGTATACAGTTTTGTTGGGGAAAGAATACATGCCATTAACCTACGATGACTAGGTATTGATTGTATTATCATCAGAGAGACCTTGAGACATTATTTAAGGGCCTCTATGCATACTGAGAAAATAGAATTGAAATTTCATTAGCTTGTAATTATGCTTGTGGATGCAAGGCAGTAGATGAGGCTATATTCTTTAGTTGGTCAATATTAAATTTTTAGGATTTTTTTTTTTTAAAGATTTTGTTTATTTATTTGAGACAGAGAGAATGAGAGACAGAGAGCACGAGAGGGAGGAGGGTCAGAGGGAGAAGCAGACTCCCCGCCGAGCAGGGAGCCCGATGCGGGACTCGATCCCGGGACTCCAGGATCATGACCTGAGCCGAAGGCACTCGCTTAACCAACTGAGCCACCCAGGCGCCCCAAATTTTTAGGATTTTTAAGTGAATCAATTTATTACTAAAATATTATACATATAAATTTAAAATACATTGGTTATCAATTTACAAGACAAAGGAAGATAAAAATAACTTCAGTAGGTTTACTTTCATTGTAAACACTCAAGTTATGTTGGTTTATATAGAACTATCTTAAATCACATCTACAGCTGCATTACCGTAATTTACCAAATTGGTAGAGTCCACATTGTAATTAGAAATTGCTGTAATCAAAGTGCTTCTCCTTGATTTATAATAATGTGCTATATTCTGTACTGCTTGTATGAGATTTCAGCAAGATTGGAGGTATTGTAGAACTCAATGTTTATAAAGTTCAGTTGGAGGTGCTAAATTGTGAGTAAAGTGTTTAGCTTCTTTCCACAATAGTGGAAAAATATCTTTGAAAAATATAAAGTGGTGCAAACCTATAACACAAGTATCATCATTAGTTTGGCCACTACTAGAACATAGTACCTAGAAAATATTGACCTTCACATTCAGGCTTTTGCATAAATTAGTATACTTTTCTACTGGTCTTTTCACTGGAATTATTCTAAGTCAAGTCTCTAGGCTCTTATACATTTATCTGAAACATAAAAACAAGTATTTTTTTTAACTTTTCTATTGCTAGTGACCCATATGTGGAACTGTGGCTTCTAGAATTCACTGCAATGCTTTCTAAGGGAATTTTACAAAATCTTCAAGGTTGGTTTACATAGTATTTCAGATTCAAAGCACTAACTGTGTTGTAAGGTATCATAATAAAAGACTGAATCTGGGGATATGTGTGATAAATGTCTGCAATAATTCCCATTTATTGCCTATTGTCCCTGTTTGAATGATGAGTTATATAATCACCCTGTTTAGAACATTTTTTCCAGTTTTATGTGTAATTTCAGATTATCTGGTTTTGTAGGGCATGCAATGTACCTGACATACTGAATTCTGTTGTTTGAATGAATAAAGTGCAGTGTTTCACCATCATTAGTTTTACCTGCCATCAAAGATTATTAGAAAAAAAGTCCGCTAGAATAATATTAACATAAAGAGTTAAATGCAGAAAAAATTCAAACCACTGACGCTTTATAACTTCTATAGCACTGCAACATTCAGTGCATTTTCTAAGTGCATGGAGTTCAAAATCAAAGTGCTGTATGAGGGGTTTTTGCAAAAAAAAAAAAAAAAATAGTTTCCTGCCCTTCCCATTTCCCCCCCCATTGAGAAAACAAATTTCACTTCCTCTGATTACCTTATTTCTCTCTACTTTTCTGAATAGCATGCTTATATCATTACTAGATTTTTTTTTAATTTTAGACATTGTATTTTGATGCAGATGCTTTCTTCTCCACGAACTCACCACACATGCATACATTTCTCATGTGCCCATCCTTCCAAAATATTTGTATTAAAGTTTGATTATTTCAATATTTGGTGTTTATGTTTTTATGACTTTGCCAACACTCTTCTCAGCTGAATCAAATGGTAAAAATGATCATGCTTCTCTCCTACAGAACTTTGGTTTTCACCTAGAGCTAATAATTGTCTCTTTTTAGCTTTTAATAGTTTTGTATTTACCTTAAGTTTATCTCAAACCCTTCACCAGTGACCTAGATAATCTCTCCAGATTCTCTGTGATGCAGCAGATGTTCCCAACTTTAACTTCCTGAAAAATTCACCCTAGAATCTTGACTTGGGTCATTAAGCAGTGGTTCTTCCTGCATAGCTGTCATCCTCTGTCTCCCTTCAGAAAAAATGAAGACAAAGGAACATAAAACCTGGAATCAATTCTAGAAAATGCCCTAGTACACAAGGCTATGAGGTTCCAGATTGCAAGTGTTTACCCAGTGACCTGAACGAGGAACAGTAAGAAACATACAATATTTGGGTTTGTTTCTGCAAGAGTCGGGGGTATTTGTTGTAATCTTTGGACGCTGATGTTGACTGTTCTAGAAAAACAGAGACAGAGAGAGGGAGAGGGAGAGAGGGCACCAATGCTTGGGAAATGGGGAGAAAATGTGGCAACTCCAGTGGTCCATAAGCAGGATGGCACATTTTAGATAGACTTTAATATAAATTCAGGACCTTATATAATAACTGATTTATTACAGGTGTATCCAAATATATCCAAGGTTGTTTCTGAATAAGTTGGTGAAAAGACAAATACAAGTCACAATCCATATCAACACTCTCAAGAGTACTGGAGTAGTGGCCAACAGTTCATTTTTAATAGTGTTATTGAGATTGGATTTGGATATGAGGATTCACCCATCTCCCAAAGAACAGATCTATTGTATATTATTCTTGACTTTAACTTTAGTCCAGTTTACTGATTTTTTAAACTGTAACTTATGTCTAGACAGGTGTGTCTTTACACAAAAATATCAATTTCTTTGTAACATATAACCTCCAAAATTCCAAGTAAGAAGTTGACCTTTGTCCATTTTTTAATGGAAAACTGCTAATTAAAATAATATAAATGTCATAAAATTATACTAAGTACCACTTGACGAGTAGAAACAAACATTAAAGGAAGAACGCAATGAGTAGACAGCACCAATCTTGTACATGTGGCCAAAGAAGCAAAGGTCCTTTCTGGATTATGAGTTTAAAATATCCCCTGAGTTCAAAATGTCAAGCAAAATTCTCCAAATCCTGGAAGAGTGATGCCAAACGATATTTGTAAGACAAGAAGCTCTGATAACTTTCTTCACTCTTCAAAATTTAAAGAATCTCAACTGATTTTTAATTTTTCTGGAAATTCATTTTTTTTAAAGATTTTATTTATTTATTTGAGAGAGAGAGAGAATGAGAGACAGAGAGCATGAGAGGGAGGAGGGTCAGAGGGAGAAGCAGACTCCCTGCCGAGCAGGGAGCCTGACGCGGGACTCGATCCCGGGACTCCAGGATCATGACCCGAGCCGAAGGCAGTGGCTTAACCAACTGAGCCACCCAGGCACCCTGGAAATTCATTTTTAAGATGATCTCCTTCTTATTCAGTCACTTATTCATTACAACCTTTATCCTAGGTATTCAAAAGTACTTCTAGTGAATAAAACCATTATTCTTTAATCAGATGATTGGGTGAGATTTTGAGCTCTCCAAAGTTCTCTCAATGTTATTAAAATTTCTTATTACAGCTTTTCATGTGTCTTTGGTCTGTGACATTCACAAACATTTCTTCAGTAGAATTGCTTGCCCCTTCTGTTCCCTGCTCCTATCCATTCCCATGAAGGCTGGCCCCTGTTGATTATGTTATTATTACTATTTTTTAATTCCTTAGGTGAGACAGGAAGACCACAGGAGCCCAGACTAAGTTCGAGACCTGTGCTCTGGTGAAGTCCTTTCCTCTGGAGGGTAGGTGGGTCTTTGTTATTGAGAAGGCTCTTGGCTTATTTCACAGTGGTGACCCTGCTTGTTCCCTTGCCAGATCCATGAGGCGACCTTTCTCAGGTCCTCATGGTGTTAGCATTAAACCTGGAAGTCCTTCCTCATGTACTTTTAAAAAAAATATTTATTTATTTATTTGACAGAGAGAGAGGGAGAAGGAAAGAGAGAGAGAGCACAAGCAGGGGGAGCGGGACATGTAGAAGCAGGCTCCCTGCTGAGCAGGAAGCCCAATGCGGGGCTCAATCCCAGCACCCTGCCCGGGTTCATGACCTGAGCGGAAAATGCTTAACCGACTGAGCCACCCAGGCACCCCTCCCCATGTGGTTTTAATACATGTGTTTTCTGGTGCCTTGGTTTCTTACCTGTTTCTTTGTCCTGACATTATGAAGCTTCACTAGGCTGTTCTGACATTGGAATCGGATCCATGTTGCTCTTTGGCCCATTTTCATAAACCATAGATCCACCTGACAAAATATTTATGGCATATGAAAATTTGGCACACATGTAGAATATAATCTGAAAATTAGTATGAGATTATGCTCAGTTTCCCTATGTCCAGATCAACATCAGGCCTCATAAAATTTTTAGTCCAAAAAGAAGCAAAAGGTAGTAAAGAGAAATTCCATCTCAAACCATAAGAAGACAGTGATGGGTTAAGTCTACTCCATCAGCAAAAATTAAGTCAGAGGAACTGTCAGCAACACACATCCATCACAGAATTTAGTCTGAAGCACCAGACTAAATGAGCTTTTTTAAGATTCTGCTAAAATGGATTGAAGTGCAAGTCACAAGGAGGTGTTTCCCTGGTCACATGTATTCAATATTAATTTATTTTAAGGATCAGTCACATAAAAGGTAAATGAGAATTAGAAAAATCTATGGATAAGAGAAACTAAGGAAGGCATTAACAGTATGATATACATAAATATGTTTTATGTGTTATGTTTTATGGATATAATTAATTAGTTACTGTTTGGCTTCTACAGAAGAAAACACATGATAAAAAGAAAGATAAACAAAAACAGGTGACTTGAGAAGGAAGGTTCTGTGGGAGTGTTACACGATGGGCATTGGTGGAATGCTCTCATGCATGTGTGAGTCACTTTACCATGAGAGATAGACCCAAGGCAGAGCTGCCCCCTTGTTTCTTCACTACCTATGGCCATAACTTAAAATACTGCAAAAGTTTTCAAAGAGGTCATTCAATAATTTCTTCTCAAACTCAACCCTGTTTCTCTCCACATGTTAATGGGAGTACGTTGAAAATTTCTATTGAGTTAGACTAATATCAAGCAAACAACCGCAAACCTGTTACCATCTCCTTCAAGTTAGGGAAAAGCATTAGTAATAGCCACCGGTTATCATTGTACGAATCATATGTTATTTAAGCTTCAGGGAGAACACAGTATCTAGATAGGAAGCAAAAAGGACAAATGTGATCTCTACTCAAGAGTCATCAGCAATGCATTACCTGAACTATTTGAGAGATCATAATGCTCCAAATCCCACTCATAAATGCAACTTAAACACACAGTTAAATATAACATATAAATGTTATTGTTTAAAATGTCAAGCACCATAATGTAACATTTCTGGGAGTATAATGCCTCTTGGGCCTCTATACATCTTGCATCTCCGCTGAAGAACTAAGAAGGAGAAATGTCACATGAAGGATGGAATTACATTTCCATGTACTACGTTGATTTTACCTGAGATATCAAATAGCACCCATATCAGCCTAGGTTGTGCACAATATTAAAAGTAGCAGTGGGCACTCTTTCTTATCGAATACCGAGACATCCCATTTACAAATTCTAAATGTACAACAATTCATTTCAGTTATGTTTCCCCGTCAGAACTCTCAATGATTCAGGCCATCTCAGTGGTTCAAATGCCATCCCCTCTCAGTATTGAGAAAGAGAATCAGATGTGGTGGGGAAGGAGGGAGGGGAGCTAAGTAGAATATCTACAATATACCTCTGTAGCAGTTTTCCTTTAGATTATATTGCTGAGAGTGAGGGTTATTTCTGGTTAGTGGCTTTACTATTTATTGTCTTGGACACCAAACTCTGTCTCTATATTTAACTCTCTGAAATATAATTGCTAAAAAAACCCATAAACCTCAAAAATAGCAGGCTAACTAAAACAATTTTTTAATGAATACTGGAACAAGAAAGGGTTTACTGTGTCAAGGGATATTGGCTGTATACCACTAGACTGATCGTACCTGCTTCAGGACTTGAAATGCATACTTCTTCCCTAAGTGGCGAGCTCCTTAGAGGAGAGCTCAACTCCTGCTCATTTTGAATTCCTAGATCTTAGAAGATTCAGTGGATGGTTTTTAAATTCAATTTTGAAATAACATTGTCTCTTTTGGCTACCTTATATCCAAAGTTTGCAAATATTCGGAAAAGTATAAGGTATGTAGAAGAGATCTCTGTAATTCACACATGCATAGAAAGTGGGTGACTCCATATTTGTCTTATGCTCAAGTTTGTGTCAAGAGAGGAGTTGGGAATTTTAGAGAACGTGGTTTAAAACTTTTATACAATTCAAATAACGGGAGCTAATTTTGGAGCTATGTTAGACAACCTTGTCTAATAATTTCCTGTGATTAAAAAAAGCAGGGTCTTGGGGCGCCTGGGTGGCTCAGTCGTTAAGCGTCTGCCTTCGGCTCCGGTCATGATCCAGGGTCCTGTGATCAAGCCGCAGCTTCGGGCTCCCTGCTCTGCGGGAAGTCTGCTTCTCCCTCTCCCACTCCCCCTGCTTGTGTTCCCCCTCTGTGTCTCTCTCTGCCAAATAAGTAAATACAAATATCTTAAAAAAAAAAAAAAAAGAAAAGCAGGGTCTTAACTCTTGAGAGAAAGAGAGAGAGAAAGAGAAAGAGAGAGGATGAGGTGGAGAAGGAGGAAGTGAAGAAAGAGAAGGAGGAGGAGGAGAGGAGAAGGGGAGGGAGAAATACAGAGACAGCTTTGAGAAAGGGATTTAGGAAGCTGGGGAGACTGGCCTCTCTTAGCTCCCCTAACACCCTTATTTCTAGCCATCTCATGTCTTCTGTGGAAAGCCAGCAAACCCTGTTTGCTGTCAGGGTTCCTGCCTGACACTGAGGTATATATATCAAAAGTAATTAAAAGTGGGCAAGAACCAAGAGCGAGGAGATGTTGCATGCCCTTTACTCATGTTTTATAAGTAGTAAGCCCTCAGTAAGTATTTAGTTGTTGACATGGCCTTGGAGATCATATAAAGCGGCAGCCTGAAATACCTAGATATTAAGATAATTCATATTTCCATGAATGTTTAGATACCCTATCTAGGTCTTGCTTGAACATTTATTTTTCTAATTCACCATATGGATATCAAAATTAGGTAAATTTGTCTAATGTTTTTCTTGACTAATTTAGAAATCAAGTAGCAGTTTTGCCATTTGGGGCGATTCTTTGGTTTTGTTTTTCTTCATTATGTTACAAAAACAGCAGAGTAATTGCTCCTGGGCTGTGCCCTGCGGCATGCATTTATTAAATATCTTCTTTGATGTTGGCTCCAAACTTATACAAACCTTTGCACTTTTCATAAAGACTTTCCCCAGTAAATATAGTCCTCACGGTTTTAATAGTGAGAAAACGAGGAAGGAAAATCCATCAAGTTCACATCACCAGTTTGTTACGAAAGTGTCACCAAAAATTCATATCCAGGAGAAGCTGTGTTTTGTTCAGCATTTACAACGAGGGGCCCCTTCACTGCCCCTCATGTTCCAAACTTCTCCTGGCTGACAGAGCTGAAAGCTCTCGTACAGTTTTCATTGATTTCTTCAAATTCATGCCTTCGGCCAGACCTACCCCAACTGGGTATTTTAGCACCCTGCCTGCTCCATCCGGGCTTCCTCACCCACTCTGATGTCTCTGATCATCAAAAATACTCCTAACAAATTAATCTAGTGAACTAACAACAAATGCCCAGCTAGTATTTAAAGATTAAGTTTGAGAAACAGATTCTGTAAACGTATCTGCAAACAGGTCTAAATCCAGGTGACAAAAGGTTCAATATCAAGGGATGGAAAATCAGAAAGTCATCAATATCTGGTGCGGTCATGACTGTACACATTTCACCTTCGAGGTGAAATCTTTGTCTACCAAATGTTCATTTTCAGTAATTTTCTTTGGTTGTTAAAGGGTGAGCACAGTGCTGGAGGGAAAGTTGTTTTCTAGTTTTGTCACACTGTGAAAGCCACTTAAAAACTCTGGATGTCACTTCACTAGAAACAAAACTATTGATCACCAGGGCCATTGTCAATATTAATATTCTATGATTCCACCAAGCCACCGTCGTCCTAATAGAAATTATTTAAGATAGGGTTAGGAAAACACTGGGAATGCATAATAAATTCTCAGTAATCTTACACTTAATAAAGGGCCTTCTTTTATTTTGAAAATAGCAAGCCAAGGAATGAAGGAATAAGTGACATTTTAAAGGTTAGCAGACTACGATTGTCAGAATCCTGTTTAATTACATAGTTACAGTTCATCACATGATAATAAAAATATAAGGAAACCATATAATATCATAATGAACAATATTAAATAACTCATGGGTAAAAACCATCAATTTAGATGTTCAAAATCTCAATCATGCAAAGTTGTGGTGTAAAGTAGTAGTTTTGAACTGCTTTTTTTCAGTAATGGAGGATTTCTTAAATTACTATAAATTACCCTCCTTGTAGCCATATCAGTTGTAAATTTCTTAGAATTATGAGGAAGGCATTAATAACAATTGATTAGGTGTATCTACTAAGGATTGAGATCCAGAAACTATGAATTCAGAAGGTAATTCTTATAGTATGTATTTCATGTGTTTTTACCAAGGGGAAAAATCACACAGACAGATTTAAAAATAATTTAATTTCCTAATTTTATTATTGCCTCATTTTTATAATATTTTCTGTTCTGCCAGAAATTCACATTTAGGTTCCAGGGACAGCTATTCCTCTGCATTCCATTCCAAAAGGTGGCTCAACTAGTATTTAAGTACAGATGTCCCCAAACTATTATCTGGAATAGATTGTGATGAAAAATAAGGTATGTCAAATCATATAATTTCTGGTAGAAGCAAATTTGTAATGGATATTTTATTTCTTAACAAGGGCCTAGCATCCAAAGTTATTTTTATCAAAATAATCATAAACATTATATTTAATCAATGACAAATGACACCTCTTTACAGAAGACTTCACAAAGTATATATAAATTAATTTAAAAGAATTTATAGAAAGCAAACATAGAACACATCATTTAATATATTTTGAAGATTCGTAAGGATAAGGATTTTAAAAGATGGGATAATTCTGGGTGGACCTAGAAAAAAGATAACAAATGTAGCACATACAGAGTAGGTCAAAAGTAAAAAAAAGTGTGTGTGTGTGTGTGTGTGTGTGTGTGTGTGTGTGTGGTGTTAGGGTTTGTGCAGAGAAGCTACAAGGGGGCCTCTGCAGGTCCTGGGAGTTCTGTCATCTGCCGTAAAGATGAGACGGGCATTTATGCTCATTTATTGTCAAGGAGTAGATGGATTTGTTGTTGTAATTATACACTGCCTGCTATTACCAAAGTAATATAGAGTGCCTTATAACTAGAAGGAATCTCTATTGTCTATTTTAGGTCTTCACAAAAATTTAGAGCTTCCTTTCCCCCACTGAACCCACTGATACATATATATATATAAGAATAAGCACTGTTCTTTGAATTATGCAATAGATATGTAAATCTGAATTTGATTAGTCACATGATTTCATAATCACCTACACCATGCTAATTTTTGATTTATATATAATATTAAGATGCTACTGCCATTTTATTCTTCATTTTCCCTGCCTTTCAGCCCATCTGTCAAATAGTTAACAATAATGAAACACCATAGAAACCCTCTTACATTGTTTTCTTTGAGAGAAAATCTGTAGTGACTTTTGAAAAAAAAAATTGTCATTATCTCCATCTTCTTTTCCTGAACTTCGGCTTTTAAATTTCAGATTTCCAAAAAATAAGCAAGTCTTATGAGGCTGTGGATCACTTGAGTGAATTAAGGTAGCAATCAGATACCAATATGAACACCACGGCAGGGTCAGGGTTGATCTTGCTCCACTCAATGCATGATTCTCTGTCTACAAAAAGGGCTGATTTTATGTTCTCTTTAAGTCTAAAATCATCCAAAAAGTAGAGAACAGATGGAGAAAGTGAATTGTATCAACAACTAAAACTAGCTCCAAATAACTATTAAAAAATTTAAATTTATTCATTCTTCTTAAAATTGGAATATGGAATATAGGGTAGTAGGCATAGAAGATGAGGTAAAATAAAAACTTATTAAACAGAACTATTAGAAGGAAATTGTAATATTTCTCTTACAAATGTACTTTTCCTCTCCTTTAAATGTTTACAAGATATTAAAATCTTAAACTTGGAAAATTGTATGAAAATCATGAGTAAAATGTGGTTTTCATACTAGGTAATTTTAACTGATTTCTCTTTTATCTAGGCTTCAGTTAATTTAAATAATTGTCTACTGAAGTGTATAAGAAACTTGATATGTAAGCTATTTTATTGTAAAAAAAGGTCATTTCCCAATTTCAACTGAAAATGGAAGATTTTTGAAGTTCACATGAAATAAAATGTAAGCCCGATGTTATTATCTAAACGCATTGTGACAAATGGACAAACGCCAAAAAGAATTAAGCCAAAATGCTACAGAGTGATAAAGGTCCCCAAAATAATAATCCTGATTACAATAGATGAATCAGTAGGAATACAAAACATATACACTTTTTTTTTTAGTTTGACTATCACTTTAGAATAAATAAGTTTGAATTTCCAATGAAGAACTGGGTGACAATGTAAGAGTAATAAAATTTATAACAATCATTCATGACCTACAGGTCCTGTGAATTGTCTCATAAAGCCTCTCTATTGACATAGTTAGTGATGACATAGTTAGTGATAACCTTCAGGAAAGGTTAGGAACATCTGAAAAATCTGAGGAGACACTTAAATGTTATGCAAGGGCCCATTTATTTAGAGGCCATGTGGCATTTCTCAACTCCCACTGCATCTAAATGGGAGACAAGATGGAGCCACGGAAGTAGTCCTGGCCCAGGAGCCTGGAACTGGGCAAAACTATTCCTGATTGTTTCTCTGCCTTTGAATAAATGACAGCATTCATGGGTTTGGGTTTCCTCCTGGATAGAATATAAGGTGGGACCTTTATTCTACATGATGGCTTCCAGAGCTAGCTGGCATCCTGCCCATCTAGAAAATGTGCCCAACATCTCAGGATACTTCCATGAGACTCTGTAAACTAGCTGCCGCCTCAACAAGTTGTAATAATTATAGAAATGATACAACAAAGATTCACATTCTTGAGCAAGAAAGTAAGGACTTGTGGTAGTTTCAGGGAGAAAAAGGCGGGTTCATTCTGCAGATACATTCCTAGAGAATGCACGCATGCGGCTGTGGGTCTCTTCTGACATACTTAGCCCCCAGCCAGGGTCACGGATAACATACCTTCATTTCAAAACTCAAATGAAGTTGACCGTACAAAAATGATCCTCATGTTACCAAAGAGACATTTTACCATGGGGTTTTGGTTACACATCCTTTCATGTTCAATAATTTTCACTAAACCCAAGGAAGCATACTTATTGGTTATGTGTTGTCTTTCTGTGGTCATTTCAAAACATGGCCCAACTGCTGTCTTCTTTTGATTGCATGGTAGGTACCAGATGAAGCTGGTCAAGAAGGCCAAGTCTGTGATATGGAACTGAAGTTAGAATGTTAAGAAAGTAGAGTCTTAGTGCTACTTTGGACATTTCATTGGAGTCTTTATAATTTTATCTAAATTGCTGCCCTCCTGAGTAGGTCCCGTCCTTTTTCTCTGCCCCCTCCATGGGATATTGTTCTCCATACATTTCATAGGCTAGAAATTCATCTGTGTGGCACATCACCTGGTATTATAGTAATGGAAATATAGTGGCCAATTTTTATCTATTTGGAGAAGGCCAAGGTTGAGGAATTGTAAAGTATGGTTAATGATTGATAAAGTAATTTGAAATTGCAAGATACTGATCGACATGATATATTAATAGAATTGGAGAAAAGTGTATCATTTTCACTTTGAGCAGTTTTTAGTATAATATTTCTTATAAGACATAACGTGTTAAAGGCCTAAAGCTCAAAAAAAAAGGCCTAAATCTCAGCCCCACTGAATGTATATTGCCCATTTATTGTGCTGTGTTATAATCATCAAAACTGGACTATGAATTTTTTTATAAGAATATAATTTGCTTAGCTTGTTTTCATTGTAGCATTAATGGTTGATTTGAGTAAGTGGCTCAAATAATCCCCTAAAGGGATTAGGGTACTCATGCTTTTTTACAAAGTTTTCTGAGATATTGGCCAAAGAACGAGGGGTAGACATCAGTTTTGATGATATGTTTTTAATATCTACTCTAAAGATACCACATGCAATAAATAAATTGACTGTAGAAACTATTAACTGTGTAATGTTATTTATCAGTCCACTGTTTCTATATTGTACAGAAAGTATTAGTGGTAGACCATTTTATAGGTGATAAATGATTTTCAAACATAATTGCCCAATGAAGACAGAAAAATTGTACAAGATACTAGGACTAGTACTCTAGTTACTACTTGGTGAAAAAAAGTGAGGTTTACTTTTAATAAATAGGTTTCACTTTATTTCACATGTTCCATCAAACAGCATCCTCCCTAGTATATAAGTAAATATATATTTCTTATTTCATTAAGTTCATATTGTGGCAGTGGCCAGAACCTATTGATTCATAAATATCTGCAATCTGCATAAATAAATTAGTTCTGAGTGCCTATTACTCATTCAATGAATAAGTGAAAGATGTGTTTTCTTTTCCCCCCACCAGTATGGTAAACTATTGGGTCAAGGTTATTTTATACTTTTCCACACTTCAAAGATAATGTCAGGTGTTGGTCATGGGTGCAACGATTAATATTTTCAGAAGAAAACTTGAAGATGTAAGAAATAACCTCTCCCCCCTCCCACCATGTCATCTTTCCGTGAACTGTGTACACCCTCCAGGCTTTCTCTGCTCTCAGAAGAGCCTCCATTACTCGGGTCAGGGCCCTTCACCATTGCTCTCTTCCAACTCAATACTGAAACAGCGACCATCTTCACTCACCTGCCTAAATCTGGTTGGAACCCCAACTGAGTCACTTTCAGAAGGAGCCAAATGATGTCTTTGGTTCATAGCAACCCCAATGGCAGGAATGATATAATACAATTTCTGAGGGAGAAAAATGACTTGCAGAGTGTAAAGGCATCTTCAGTCAAAACCTATGAGCTCAAGTGAGTTGAATACATGTCTATGTCCATTCTAATTGCTCCAATGAAATTGGTTTTATGAAGTTCCAGGAGAATAGTATGGTAACTTTTCTTTCATCTTTGGTTTTCGTAGAAGATTTATATGCTCGTCATTTTTATTACAATGCACACTGCCTTATGTCAAGTATATTAGGCTAATATAAATTCTCCTATCTGTTCAGTTAGCAATTTTAACTTAGCTACAATTGTATAAGTATAGATGGAGGAATATGCTAGAATAAATCTCCAAAAATGTACCATGGGAGACTTTATAGCATTATCCTCATTGGGATGAGACTGGGTTAAAGAATTGGGAAGGAAATTTCTCTCACATACTCTTTTAATGACATTATTTTCAGAATGAACTGGCCCAAGGTTAGCCTGATCTTTGGTATCTCCTCAGTTATGCTCACTGGTAATGATCACAAGCAAATGATGTTCTGGAAGCAATTTCATGCAGGTATTGTGTCTTCTACCAGACACAAGAGCAGACTCATCTAATTAGCAGAATCCCCCCCCACCGCCCCGGATTCTCTCTCTGTGCTTCTCGCACATTAATGAAGCTGAGACATGAACCAGGACCCCCGAGGGGCTTTCCCCCCAAGTCCCATGTAGAAACTGTGGTCTCTAAGCAACAGCTCAACTGAGTGAGCGGGTGAGAGCCTTGCTCTGAATGTGGCACCACTAGGAGCTGTGTTCAAATGGTCTCAGCGGGGAGTTGCTCTGGTGTGGTTTACAATGGATTTCAGAAGCAGTGCCAATGTGCTAAGTGATTCAGAGTTGTGTGACCCTGCAAGCTGGGATTTTAGGGAAGGCTGTATCATCATCAGGAACCAGGCATCTGCTTTTCTGCTGTGTCAGCAAAATTCACAGTGCAGAGAGTTTGAATAGTTTTCTTTTTATCCCTGAAAGCTTAAGATAATTATTTTTCACAGCCACATTAACTCTTATGATTAGCATCTTGATGGGGTTTTCATACTTATCTGAGAGATTCAGAGAGTCTAGGTTGTTGTTATAAGTGTAAATTTATCTAGGAGGGACCCAGAACCATTTCTAGTCAGTAGTAATTCTATGAAATGAATTTGGAATCTGCATTCAAGCTACGGATAGAGATAAAAAAAAAAAGAGTCTTATTAAAGATCAGCAAAACAGATACCCCTTCAACAGACTAACTTTAATAGTTTAAAGAATTTTGCTATTAAGAAAAAAATTCAGGCTTTTATCTTACATGATCTGGGCTCATTGTTCTTTAGATTCCCCTTGGAGTATTTATAAGCTGACCATCTTAGGCATGTGGCATCAGATAATTCAGGCAGAATGATTTTTATTTTTACTTGAGTAAACTTCAAAATTAAGGACAAAAATATCTTTGTTGACCTTAATTAAATTAGCGAAATTTTTTAGATCACGTGGAACCCAACCACTCACTTCCCTCTAAACTTGGTAGTTTTGTCATGAATGTCAGAGATGAAAAAAAATTATATTTGATCCGTTTTCTCTTATAATCCCAGCCAACCCATGTCCATTAAAAAGAAAGTAAGCTTAGTAAATTCTGGTTACACACTAAATCACAAGCACCCAATGGCTTTTGAGAATGGCATCTATAAAATCTTAAATAATTAATATCTACAATCCTGTGCCCATTGTTCTCCCGACTGTAAAATAGCTAGTTCTTTTTAGGTATATACATATACTTTTTATCTCTTTCTTGAAATACAGTTTCTCATTTAAAGTCTTTCTTTTATTTGAGGGTAAATGGAAGCAGTGGGTGATGACACCCGATCTTCCTCACGTAGCTCAGAGGGGATGGTCAAAGAGAGAAACACTGTCAAGAAGGGAGTACTGACCAGAAAGACAGTGTGGTGACATGACACGTAGGACAGACAGCTAGACCGGTTCTCTTGCCTTCGTTTTCGAGTGTGTCCCTCCTTCTCACATATTCATTTATACTTGTCAGAGGAGCAGACTTGACTACGTAAATACTTTTGCTAATAAGAAGCCTTTTTTTTTACAGCACTATTTTAAAAATAGCTATTCAACATAACAATCTTAATGTTAATGCACCAAATTACAGTATTCAACAATGTAAGTGAGCATATCCTGTCACCCTCAGCACACATTTGATATATACTTGTTAGATATAGATGGATACAGCAATATCCGTATCTCTATTTGTCTACAGATGCACACACACACACACACACACACACAGCAGAGCTACAAGGCCCTGCTCAACAGTGTGTTCTAGATCTCGGGTTCCCTTAATTGTCACTGGGGCTTATTTATATGGAGAGTTATGGTGCCATTTGTAGACCTTGCTGGATTTGTCCCCGTCAAAACTTTCCACGCCACATAGGTTGTGGTGGGTGACCTTACGTCTAAGGACAGACCCTGTCATCAGGCCGGAGGGCTGAGCCACGAGGACAGGGGTCAGGCCCACCACCCAGGCACAACCCAGTGTGGGCAACTTTTCATGGTGCCCAGAACCAAAGGATTTCATTTAAATGACTGTTCATACGATTTGGATTCTATTTTTGTGAAACATAGATTCCCCCCACCCCCAAGAAACTCAATAAATAAAGGACTTAGCCACAGAGTCAAGGAAGCAGAACTCCAGTTTTTAACCTTTCACTGGGATCGGGGCTAGACCCGCCCCATTTCAATTTTGCCTGCAACTGGTCTTCCAGGAGGCTGAGGGAGCAGCAACCCCACTAGCAGGTCCAGACAGACTGCCTCTCTGGTTGGTAGTGGCTCTCTGACTGTCATTGAATGAGGCTGGAGCTGTAGCTGAATCCGTAACTGCTCGACCGGGACAGAGACGGCTGAGTCTCTTCGCTCTGCTCCGAGGCGTAGCTGGGAAATGTCTGTGCACGTGACATCTTTGAGGAACTAAACCCATGACCTGAGAGAAGGGAAGGAAGAAAAGGTGTACTAAGAAATAGATTCAGAAAGGCAAAGGGATATATTGAAAACAAAAACAAAAACAAAAAACCCACAAAAACCAAGCAAACAAGGCAGATGCCCACAAATCCTCAAAAGAGAGCTCCAGGTAAGTACCTAAGTGTGAAAAATGGAGAAATTTGGTGCATTATTTCTCTTTGAGTTAAAAATGAATTCAGGGTCAATATTTTCCTCAAGCGTGTCTTGTCAAAAATTCGGATGCCAGGCAGCTAGGTAAATTTTCTAGAGATCTCAACCTTCTAGTAGCCTCCAGCTATTGGAATACAAGCAGAAAAGATTTTCTGAAAAAAAGCTGTTTTTGATGGAGAGCCTGTGAGCTGCATTCTTTTCTTTTATACTCACTTTCAGCATACAAAAGCAAATTATAAACTTTCTTTTTTTTTTAAAGATTTTATTTATTTATTTGAGACAGAGAGAATGAGAGAGACAGAGAGCACATGAGAGGGGGGAGGGTCAGAGGGAGAAGCAGGCTCCCTGCCGAGCAGGGAGCCCGATGCGGGACTCGATCCAGGGACTCCAGGATCATGACCTGAGCCGAAGGCAGTCGCTTAACCAACTGAGCCACCCAGGCGCCCATCTGAGTCACCCAGGCGCCCTATAAACTTTCTTAAAACCTTTTTTGAGCGGGCAAATTACACTGCACCCGAACCAGTAACCATCAATTAGCAGGAAAAGCTTTCACAATTGTAGACTTCAAGGCCCTGACTTACCCTGTCGGTTTTGTGACTAACTGAACCCACTTCGTGATATGATTAACCTAAACAGTGAATCTTTATGGTTAATAAAATGGCCGGAAAGTTTACTCTTCTAGAAAATAGATTTAAGGAAAATTCTATCTATGCTTTTGGGAGTTCGGACGCATCCCTGAAATGAAATATTTGTCTAATGCAAACAGAAACAGAAGTGACCACCGAGAAGCTTGTCAGAATGCTGACAACAGAGGGAGAAAAATGGCACTATTTCTAGGGACCTTCCCATCCTTTTTCTTAACCAGGAATTTATTCTTCATACTTGAGAATGAGCTGAATGAGCAGAGAAGAAAACTAGATCCAGTGCGCTCCGCCCTTCCAGAGAGTATATTTTACCCAAAGGAAAAGATGTACCTAGTCTGATTGGTAATGTTTCTGGTCTCTACCAGGAGGAATGGGACACACAATCCGCTCTCGCAGAAACGAGGAACATCTAGTCCTTTTCCTTAGGTGGCGCTGTGGAGAGGTCATGCACCTAAAGCCAGTTTCATCATCAGGTGAGTTTGGTGACTTGGAAAACATCCTTGCAGTTTCAGAAGCTTGGGGTCCAGGGAGAAATGCAAATGAATTGGGTAATAAAAGGCTAATTAAACTGGTAGAACCTCTTAATGTTAAAAAATAGTGAGAGTGAAATCTTGCTTTCTACATAAAAAATCACTTTCACTGTGGCCTAATTCCCTTGTAGGTTAAGTCTCCCCACGAGCAGATCAGGCGAGAAGGGAGATGTGGGCATTTCCTCTTTGCCTTGCCCTCTGGCTGCTCCTGGGGTTCTGCCAGCCCAGCTTCCTTCTGAGCGTCTGGACCTTTCTGCTCCCTGCCCTGCCTCTCCCAGAGCCCCCTAACCACCTTTCCTCTGTGGGTGGGAATGCTGCCCACTGTTGCCCGTCCTTCACAATTCCTTGCTGGTTCTGTCACTTCCCTCCCAGCACTATAAATAGTCCTTTAAAGTCTCTTAACATCCCATCTGGTCGTGTCTTCTCTTTCTTGTGGGACCCTCATGCTGCAAGGAGAAACACTGGATCTGGGAAGAGGCAGAAAAGGGGAGAAATTAGGGGGACCTAGGGTGAGGTCAGGGGTGGGAACTCAGAGCTAGAAGACCAGATATGCGTGCTGCTTCTGCTACTTATAGGAGTAACCGACCTTGTGAGACTCACAACGTTCTCAGTTTCCTTAGCTGCAAATTCTGGATGACATGAATGGTGCTATATGACTCATTTGATTCTCAAATCAGTGAGTTTTAATTGAATTCCAACATGTTAAGTGCTACCACCATAGTGAACAGACAGATGTCACCATCGACTCCCACAAGGTCACCTAGATGGGATGGTCAGGGAGGGCCTCCTGAAGAAGGTGGCATTTTCACATGATACTTACGTGACAAAGTTATGAAAGAGTAACATGATATGGAAAAAAAAATCACTTAAACACTTTAACAATTTTGCCTCCTTATCTTACCATTGACTTCCTAGATGATAACTCACAGTTCTCAAAAGGGGAGCTACTGGCATTTATCAGCATAAACCAGCTGGAAATGCTAATATGAAGACAGTGTTCCTGGTCTCAGTTTTATCTTATTGAAAAAACAAATGAGAAATATCCGAGGGGCACCTGGGTGGCTCAGTCGTTAAGCGTCTGCCTTCGGCTCAGGTCATGATCCCAGGGTCCTGGGATCGAGCCCTGCATTGGGCTCCCTGCT